CACTACCCGGGACCCGTCGGCTGGGGCGGGCACGGTCTGGCCTCTCAAGTCGGATCCTGAGCTCCGTGGAGGCGAGGACCCGTGCCCCCACTTTTACGTGTAACCTGGTGCGGACTCACGGTAGCATGAAACCGTCACGGGCTGACCACGTGAACACGAGAGCCGGCGCTCAGGAAGGAGCCTGCCCACGGCCCCGCCTCACCAAGTCCGTGGCCAGAAATAACTGCACGGGCTCCTCCGTCCATCAGGGCGGCCGGCCCACGCCAGGCACCCGTCAGAGGAAACACAGCTGCACTCACAGCCTCGAAGGGGACCCCCCCAGCTGGGGAGACTCCGGGACTCCGAGTGACAACGCTCTTCTCCTCAGACGAGGCCCGTCTGTCCTCGACGGACCCGGCGCGGAACCCTGCGCCGAAACACGAAGAGCTTCCGCTTTTCCCACAGATGCTCAGAGGCAGGAGCTTACGTCGGGGGTGTCTTCCTGGCTAACGGGCCCTGGAGCGCAGCGGGACAGGGCAGGAGGGCCCCAAAGAGCTCTCACCTTAACTCAGAGGCGCCGGAGCTCCGACCCGTGTGCGCGGCACTAGCCGCTTCCACACGGGGACCAGCCCCGGGGAGCCCCCCTCCTCGGGCCCTGAGAACCTACCACTGACAGGCCGCTACCTACAGCCTTGCCTCTCAAAGGAGGACCTGTGCTTGCCGCAAACACGGCTCCCTCCCGCCTCGCCCCCTAGCCACTTGTGAGCGGCGCCTCTCTCGGGGTGCTGATTTCGGGCATGTGGGTGGGCACCCACAGGAAGCGGGAGCACACACTCCGGGCTGGGGTGTGCCCTTGCAGCGGGGCGCAGCCTCAGGGTGGGGCCCACCCTCGTGAAGCGGGATGTGCCTGGGGCCGGGGTGGGCCCTCTGGAAGCGAGGTGCACCCTTGCAGTGGGGGGCGCGGCACCCGCAGGAAGGAGGCCGCCCCTCAGGCCCGGGCTCTGCCGGGGGCGTACTTCTGCGTGTCCGCCGCTAGGTGGGGGCCGAGAGCAACGCTCACCAGGAAAGTGGAAAGGAGCGGTCGCCCTCCTCTCTCCCCCTCCCACCCGTAGGACCCCTGCCCCGTGGCCCAGACATCGTGATGGGCGGTGAGCAGCTCACAACCGTGTGATTCACCATGGACGGGGCAGGATCGGGGAACCTCAACTCAAAACTCCTGAAAACACCCGGTGCGACGTCAGACAGGACTTCCCTGACCGTACCCAGGCCGGTGGACGCCACTTTCCGTGGCTGAGGCCCGGAGCAGACAAGGGGTGCGGGGGCGTGCTTAGAGACCCCTGCCAGGGCACTGGCTGTGGCTCTTGGACGGCTGGCGCCCCGGGGACAAGGTGCCGTGCAGAGACGCAGGGCCTCGGAGGAGGTCTCGGAAAGGCTCGCAGCGGCTCGCGGAGAAGGCGGTGGCCGGGCTTCCACGACTCACGGGACGTACCTGTGACATCCAATGGACGCTTCTTTAGAGCGGTAACCACGGGCCCGTCTTTTCTGCGTAGCAGCGGGCTGCTCCGTCTTTCGGCCACCTTCTGCTTTAGCCTGGACCGCAATTTCAAATTGGGTTCAGAGGCTGCACAAAAAGGAGACGTCGTTATAGTCAGACACTCACGACGGGGACCAAGTTTATCTCACTGGCAGCTAAAAAAACCATGCACATCAGGTCAATATCCACTCAACCCTGCTGTGTTGTTGCAGGGCAGAGCGAAGGCAGCGTTCCTGAGGCCTACGCAGCATCTTTTCAGTCCCACAAGATGCACAAAGGCCGTCGGACGCCTTCGGCTCCGTTTCTTTGGACAGGGTTACCTATCTGTGCTGGTCGTTTCGGGGCGTCGGCCCACAAATGTTGTTACGGCTTCTATAGTCTCCACTTCCTCATTCACCTGCGTATCAGAAATTCCTCCCACGTCTAACCACCTGGAAACAAGCTGCTTGCTGGGGCTCCCGGCGACCTCTGCCAGTGGCCGCCATGGGGTCCTAAGGCCAACCAGTCCTCCACACCTGCGTGTAGGTGAACGAGCCCACCTCCCTCAGAGTCCACCTGAACGGGGGACACAGGTGTTTCGGCTTGGTCTGGTTTGTTAACGGCCCTGTGCTGTGCAGACCTGCAAATCTGAGCCCTCTGCACCCGGAGCCCAGACCGCCCCGCGTACCAATCAAGCTGCACCTCTGGGGAAGCGGGGGGCACCCCAGTGCGAGCTGCCTGGGCAGTGCCTTACTGCACCCAGAGGTGCCCCGTCCGGACACCTGGGCAGGAATCTCCAACTCCACGAGGCCACCAGCTTTCAGGGCCAGGACAGGGGTAAGAGCACCACTGGGAGACGTTGGCGTTCTGGGGTTTTACTTGACTGCTTTCAAGTTCCTGCGACTTGTGCGTTTGCAAATTAGCTCGTTTTTACCTTTTTGTTTGTTTGTTTTTAATCAGCACCCCTGCTGTTTTTAATCTTTCTGGAACAGGAAGTTCACTGCTCTCCAGAGTGCCACGCAATGCAGTCGAATTTCCCTCTGGAATCACAACTAAGACGACTGGGTTTTAAGAAGCAGGCCACGCGTGCATCTCAGGGGCACCGTGACTCCGACCCTTGGGGAGCGTGGAGGGCGGGGCAGTGGCCTGGGGACCCCACTCCCCGAAGGAGGCCGGGTCTGTGGGCCCTGGAGGGCGGAGGGCGCGGCCGGGCACCTGAGTGCCGCCTCCCGGAGGAATCGAAGGTGTGTTTGAAGAAGCCGCCAGAATGCTCCCGATGGCCCCCCTGCTCTGGAGGGTGTGAGGCAGGGACGGGCCCTTTCCCCTTTGCGGTATCTGGGCTTAGAGCGGGTGCCCGTCCACTTGTAGGACTTCCGCGGCCAAGAGAAGTGGGAGGGGTTCACCTTCTCCACAGGCGGAGGATCCACGTTCATTGCTTTCACACTTGTTTTGCGGGCAACGCAGACTCCTGTGTTTCACTCACTTCTGGGTTTGCGCGGGGTTTCTCGGCCTTACTTAGCGTGAGAGAAAGGCCACGACCCCATGTGGCTAACCGGCAAGAAAACAGCAGCTCTTCTAATGCCACCAAGGTCTCTGCTAGAAGGACACCAACGGTCCTCTCAACAACCTTCTGTCCGAGGAGGGGTCGGCAGCTGCCCCCGAGACTGCAGGACAGCGCGGCCCTCGGCGGGGAGCGCCTGGGGACATGGGGTGCGGGGGCGGGGGCGGCAGGGTCACCACGCTCCCGACACCTGGTCGGGCGACGGCACCGGCCGGGACCATCCTCCCCGAGGACCCCAGGTTCCCTGTGACCTGCAGCCTGTGCCGGGCAGGCCCCAAGCCCATTCCCACCGCACGCGGCTGCTGGCCCCCCTGTCTGGACCGTGGGACGGCCGCACTCCCCTCACGGTGGCCCCTGAAAGGGTTCTGCTCATCTGTCTCTTTGCCGGTCTCCCCCTTGCCCGTGCTTGAACATGAAAGTCAGGCCGGTCTGAAGGACTTGCCCCGCCTCCTGGGAGCTGAGCACACTCCCCCCGCCCGCCCCTCCGCGGGCCCCCATCTCATGTGCGGTGCCCAGTGCAGAACCGAAACGAGGGACATTGTGTTCAAGATGTCAAACGTCTCATTTAAGATGAAAGCAGGGCATTAAACTGAGCGGGGTGTGCCCCGCCCGCAGCCCAGTTTAAGGCACCAGAAGGGCTCCACACACCGGTCTGGGCCCTTCCCTGTCCCTCTGGGGCGCCCGGGACCGCCTCCCCATGGAACCCCCAGGTGCAGGACCAGGGGCTGAGCAGCAGGCTGGGGACCAGGCGGGAAAGGAGGCAGTCACCTCTCAGTGTAGGTTCTGGGCCGGCCTCCCCCCCCACCTGCCCCCGGACCTTGGCCGGGCTGCAAAGGGCTCTGAGGTGCAGCAAAGGCCCTCCTGCCCTTCCTGTGCTCTGGAGAAGGCACGTTCTCCGGCAGCCGCGGGCCCAGGCGTTGCGCAAGCTCGAACGAATCGTGCGGACCCCACAGAGGAGACACGGTGACCCCCACTCCAGCCGTTCCTAAGCGTATTTCCTGAGATTTGCCGAAAGCGTGTAACCCAGGCCGCTCTGCACGGCAGGCCATCGGCGAGACAGCGGACCCTGGAGACCGCACCCGCCACGTGCAGGGTTGCGCGACCCCCACAGGCCCCAACGAGCAGCTCCTGCCGGCCTCTGAGGTCCTCAGGACGCATGCCAGCTCCCAACGGGGCTGGGAGGAGGAAGGATACGCCTGGATGTGTTCCTTCGAACAGAGCCGCGGCAGACCGAGAGCCAGAGCCTGAGGGAGGTGTTTGGGAGACGTGGATCACAGCCGTGTGCTGACGAAACAGAGGACGCTGACCGGATCCACGGACACGGTGCCTGCTCTGCCAGGGGCACGTGGGGAGCCGGGAGGTTTCTCCTCAAAGGCGATCAGGTAAATGACAGGTTAAGTCAAACTAAGCTATCCTCATCTTGCCTTAAAGTTCGACCCCCTCCCCAGCACCCGCCCCTCCTTGGGCAGGAAGTGCCTTCGGCCGAGACGAAGAGCGCGCTCGACAAACCCTAACCCACACCCAGTTTATGAACGTCGCGCTCTCCCTGAGGGTCGGTCACAGCGTAAACCGCTTTCAGGGTGGGAACATTTTACTGTTTAACAGCCAGGTGGGCACAGGGGCCGTACGTGCCCGTGGCGCGTGCACAGAGGAGGGTCCTTCTGGAAGCAGTCACTGGTGTGTGGGCCTGCCCCCACACCCAGCAAGGAGAGCAGGGCCTGAGCCACCGAGGATGCCCACGACGCCGTCTCGGCCGGGCACGCGGACGGAGCGTGTGCCTCCAGCTGCCCCTTCCTGAGACCCAGGACAAGGCACAGGACAGAAGTGCAAGTGTGGGAAGAAGACATCTGGAGAAAAAGGTGAGAAATTTGGAAAACGGGAGTGCAAAGGTCCGACATTGGATTGACAAAGAGCCAAGACAGGGCAGAGCGGGGAAGGTCGCTAACAAGGTGACTGAAGGGACACTGTGCTCCATCTGAAGAAGGCCTGCTGCCCAGGAGGCCTCACAGCGGCCCTCGCCAGGCAGGCCCTGCAGGGTTCTGGAGCTCCGGGCACCAGGGGTGGGCCTCGTCAGCGGTGCTGGATTCCCCAACGGTCACTCGGACGCAAGACGAAGACGCGAAAGTCCTGCAGGAAAGTGGCTTCTGCACCCGACCACGTCATCGGTCAGATGTGAGCCAGTGGGGACACCCGCCAGCATGCCAGGACTCACGTTCGCATCCGGCGCAAGCTCCTGTGCCCGTGCGAGGTGAAGGAGGGGCCGCGCAGGAGCCCCTGGGGTCCTGGGAAAGGGGCGGAGCCTCCCCAGGGGGGTGGGGGGCCGGGAGCAAGTCCCCCAGGCCCCAGGGGGGCCTTTGGACCACGTGCTATGCAGGGGCTCCTCCATGTGGATTAATAACAGGCACACAGAAAACGAAGCCACTTCAGGACAAACAAGTTGTGTAAATAGAGAAATGCAGGCAGGGCCACTTCATGTTGGTGTATACTTTCTGTAAGTCACCTGTCACAGGGCAGGGAGGGGCATGTGTTCCCGTCCTGAGCCTAGTGGGGCTCTCTGATTGACGTGCATTTATCTACTTTGAAAACAACAAAGAAAAAACCCCCAAAATATAACTGGAATATAACTTTTGTAGCACATGTATCTGACGTAGGATTGGTATTAACATATCAAGAGTTCCTACAAAGTCCCAAGAAAACACCCAAAGGAAAACGGATGAGAGATCGGCCATTGGACTTCCATCCACTGAACACCTAGGAACCCTGCCCGTTGTCTAGTGTGGTTCTAGACATTGTGCCCAAGGGACGGACAAGAAAGCCCCGGCCTGGCCGGCAGGCACTCTGAGCTCTGCACAGCTCGCCGGCTACATGACACGGCCACCCAGGGCCCCACTGCAAGTAGCTCACATTCTACGAGGAAGGATGGAAAATAATCACAAAGATGCTCCAGCTTTACTAGCCGTGACGGAACCACTCCTGGAAACGTCAAAGGAAGCAGGGTGCACTCATCCGTCGCGTGGGCCAGGACGGACACGGTAGCGCCTGCTTGACGAAATGGGGACAAACGGGCGGCAATGTGGTGTGATCCGCCCCGTCGCTCAGAGCGCGCAGCCCTTCAGGCGGGCAGCCCCGTCCTTAGGGACCCATCCCACAGAGACACCAGCACAAGCGAGCAAAGGTACCCACATTTGTTGGCCAAGTTACGCTACAAAAGAGTTGCAATTTATACCCACACGTGAGAATAACACAGAAACAGGTATCGATCTTTCTACCCCGAAATGGAATCGTGTGAACAACACATACTGCCTGAAAGATAAAAACACAGGACAAAATGCAAAGCAAGCGTTTTTCTTAACAAAAAGACGGGCCTGCGTGTTCACGGCGCACACGGACAACACTGCCACACGCAGGGATGGAAGGTCTCTGGACAGACAGATACCAAGCTAATAGCAGCAGCCTCTGGGAAGTGAGCTTCAGGATGTGTGTGTAATGTGTGTTTTAATCTGTTACAGGCACACATTCTGTGATCTTTTAATAAAGAAAAGAAGCACCACACGCTGCTTGAAGGTGTCGTGTCCCCCAGCTGATTTCTGTTGGCCACCGGGAGCAGTGTGGACGTGCCACTGAACGGTGGGACGTGGCTCTCGGAGAGACCGGTCCGAGATCCCAGCTGGTGCTCTGCATATCAGAGGGCCAAGGGTGATGGTCGTCAAGGTCGAAAGGCTGGAGCACAGAACACGTGAGCCAACTTCCTTGCACAGAAGCTGCCTGGCATTTAACCACACCCACCCTCTCTCTCCTTTGGAAACACAATAAAGCCTTTTGAAGAGCTCTCTGAACACTCACACCCGGTTTTTAAAGAGCACACAGCCCCTGAGTGCCGAGGGAGGCTGCCCACCTGGCAGCTGGTGCTCGGCAGGGCCAGCACTGCCCAGGCCGCGGTGGCCTCCCACACCCTGCTCGGAGACCGCTCGGAGAGGGCGGAGGCCAGCGGTCCCAGCCCCGAGCAGGAGCTCGAGGGCCATTTATCACAGGCGACCGGCCGTAGCGCGTGGGCATCATCCCCTCCTGTCCCTGCTACCGACCCGCACAGGGGTTTCTGCGAAGCGGCTCAGAACAAGGTACCGACGGCACGCAGCGCGGGAAGCAGCCCCTTCCCGAACCGCAGAGCCGAGCGTCATGTATGAAACGCGCCCATTCCGTGTCCTGGTAACTTCAGCCTACTCCTCACACGGACACGGAACCAAATGCCACGAACGTCATTCGGTTCGCCAGGACACGGGAAAATTCGCTAGCTTGTTGGTATGTTTCATGGCTGCGGAGGGCACAGAGAACCCACCTGGCTCTGCACAGGCCACGGAAGGCTCTGGCAGATCTCTGTAAGGCGGCGGGGACATGCTGGGCTGCGGGCTCGGAACGGGACCCTGGTGCCCAGAGGCCAGCGTGACCGTGTCAGAAGGGGCCTGAATCCATCTGCTTTGTGTTTGGGGTACAAGCCTTGCCCTTCACGTGCCTGGGCCCCCTCCCTGGCCTGGCCCCTGTGCTGAGGGGGTCCTGCTCCCCGCCCACCACAGCAGCTCGAACCCCAGCACCCTGGATGCACGAGGCAAACGCTCACCGAGTCACCGCCCTGCAGAAATCGGGGGGCAGAGCGGATGTCGCCCTGGTGCAGGCACAGGGCGCTGCTGGTCAAGCACAGGAAATTGAGTCTGGATCCCAACTCACTGCGGTGTGACTGGGCAAGGCAATCAGCCTCAGAATCCGCCCCCAGGGGTCACCGCCAGCCGTGGGGAGCCGCTCGAGGACACGCAGGCTCTCCACAGACAGGGACTGCATCCCCTGGGTGTCAGGGCACCTCAGGAGGCACCAGGGGAGCACCAAGTGACTGGGTGCGGTCCTGGGGCGATGCACCATGACCCTCATGATGCTCATGTGACAGCAGCACAGGTGCTGCTCAGCAGCACAGCCTCACAGTGTGAGGACAGGCACTGCCTGGGCGGGCGGGGGAGGGGAGCCGGTGCCGGGCCCACCTCGCCCCCTGCTGGGTGGGTGACCCAGCGGAACCGTGCACTCCTGCCCGGGGCTGGACCCACCAGGCGCCACCTTCTTCCCTCTGCTCTGGAGAGCAGACCCACCCGTTATGACCCAGCCTCTGGGAAGTGAGTAAGGAAGCTGGATCTGAACCCAGGCCACGGCCCCCAAGCCAGGGCGAAGTCACCCCCTGAACGCGCAGGGGCGTGGGTGAGTCGGTGCGCTCAAAGTCCCATTTTTGTAGTCTTTCCTCTTACCTACTCTTACAGAAACGCAGCTATAAATTATTTAGAATTACTGACATCGAGTGTTGGAAAGACACTTTTAGAATGATACAGGACACCTAACTACACTCTATTCCCTTAAGTGGCTTAAATGTTTCCACTGAAATCTTTATATTATTAATATTATTAATGTGCTGGTGACGCCCTTTTAAAAAATGGATCCCGCAATCAAATCTTAATTAAGTTCTTCTGGAACGCCGCGTGCTCAGCGGCACCTCCCCAACTGTGACCAGGACAGTCTTCGTTTCTCAGTGGAACAGGACCTGGGGCGGGGGTGAGGGGGTTGCTGTGGCACAAGGTCCGGGCAAGCAGGTGTTAGAGGCCCTGTTTCCAGACCCCAGAGAAGCCCAAGGCAGCACGGGAGCCAGCAGGCACAAACACTGGAGGTCACGGGGCCTGTGAGGCAAAGGTCACGGGCCACACAGCTCTGGGGAATGGCAGCGGGTCAGCAGTGGAGTTCACTGTCCCGCCTCCGGAGTCTTCCGGGACCCTGGCTATAAGAGGTCACCGCCGGGTTCTGTGTCCTGTGACAGGGGCCCGTCTCCGGGTGGTGCCGGCCTCGTTCGGCTGGGAGACGGAAAGAACCGGGGCAAATGTCCCCTGACGGGCACCCCCACTTCTGCTCAGAGTGGGGCATGTGGGCTCAGGCCAGGGAGCTGCGTGAGCGCCACCAGAGGCAGGTGACGTTCTCTGTCCTTTCCTGGGACATCAGGGGGAAGAGGCGAGGTGAGGCCCCTGGGCCAGAGGTGGGTGGCTCTGCTTGGCGGCCAGGTCCCCGGACTTCTGCTTCCGCCGTCGGGACCTTGGGGGCCACGCTCGCCACACCCGGGGCAGGAGGAAGCTCTGCCTGCTCAGTGTATCCACGGCGGGGTAGATATGGGGGTGCAGGGCCCCATGTCACTGATGGGAAACTGAGGCCAAGGGGACCTAAGGAATCCATCAGAGGGCACACAGAGCTTCAAAGCCAGTGAAAAGATCCAACCCGAGCTGCTGGACGGGGGAGCCCACAACCTGCCCACGCACTTCGGGTGAGGGGAGCTTCCGGCGGCTCACTCTTTCCGGGCCCCGAGCACCTGGGGCAGGCCCGGTCTTGGCCCCTCTCCCGGCACGGTGCCCGCTGCTGCCCATGACCTCCTGCTCTGCGGATGTGAGTGTGGTTAAACACAGCACCAAGTTCCAGAAGGGGGCCTGGGGGGCCAGCCCGGGAGAACCGGCCACCACGCGCTTCTGGAGAGCGCGTGGGTTCTCTCTAGGCAAACCCACAACCGTTCTCAGCGGACGAGTGAGAGCCACGTACCCCAAACTGAGGAGAAGAGGACCGCAGTGGCACCTTCCTTTCGCCAAGAAAGGAAACCCTGCCCGTGCCTGCAGGGTCCTCGCCTCGGCTCGGCCAACCCCACCGAGGTGCTGGTCGGGGACTCTGGGCTCCAGCTCCAGGCCCGTGGCCTTCGTGGTGCGGTCCTTCCATCTCACACACCTGGACCGTCAGTCAAGCACTACTGAGGGGCCTCCCCACAATTTCTGGCTCTGGATTCAGGGTCTGCTCCCGCGTGCCACACCGACTCCGCCGGGGCACAGCTCTGACTACCGAGAGGCCCCGAGTCTTCTGTCTTTAGGGTGGGGCGGCGGGGGAGCCGTCCAGCCCCGTCCCCCAAAGCCTCATCACTCGCGTAAAGATGCTGATATGACTGCCTCAAAGCGTATCTGTCAAAAGTCAACCCAGATCCTCCGGGTAAAAAAGATTGGTGTTTACAAAGAAAAAGCTGTGCCACAAGGGCCTCATTTCCACCAAGCAGGGCGCCCTGGAGTTTCCCACAATGCTCTGCACCCGCGGGCTCCACGCGCTGCGTCTGCGACCAGGGTAGCCCGTGGCCACAGCCGGCCCTCACCTCTCGAGGCAAAGCCTCTGGAAGGCACTCCTCTGGCCTTTGCCCTTCCGGCCACCCTCGTGCCCCAGCCACAGCCGCTCTGATCTTTCTTAAAAGCCACTGCCCGCTGAAACCATCACCGCTGGACAGAGTCCAAGAGAGCCTGAGTCTGAATGCCCTTCTTTGCTGGAGACAGAGCCGCACACACCCTGAGGCGTCGTGCTGACATGTCCTCGCGGGACACAATGAGGTCCTTTCTTGAATACATTTGCTCCTACCCTGGGGCCCCCGGCCGCCCCTGCTGCCCAGGTCCTGCCTAGAGCCGGCGCTGAGGGCCGAACACTGGCTGCCTTGCTCCGGCAGGACCCTGGGCCCGTGGGCGGGAGCTGCCGTGTCCCGGGCCCACCAGGGGATGCTCCGAGCTGTGACAAAGTGCAGCACGCCATGAGCTAGGCTCTTGTTCACGAATGAGCTTGAGTGTTAAAGGGCAGCTGTACTTACGTGAGGTTCGCTGCTTTTGGTATGAACCGTCAGGAAGCGCTTAAGGATTATTTTAACACGATGCTCTAATAATAATTTCAAAAAACCCCAAATACTTAAAAATGAGCTGGGATTCCCTCTGAGTGCGCATCCCAGCCTGGCTCAGCGTCTGGGGATGTGGGAGGGGCCGGCTGGGAGCCCCGCCCTCAGGCAGCAGCAGACCCGGGCACTGACCTGTTTTTCTGAGCGGGAAATCGTCTTTGGTGTCGTACATTCCCAGGACCGGGTGGTTGTAGGAGGCCGACACCCCGCTCTGGGGCGGGGAGCTCTGGTCGAGGGAGCTGTGCTGTGTTTTCCTGGAGAGAAGAGGCAGAGACAGACGGCCGAGTTAGCCAGGGTGTCACATCAGCCCCGGATCAGCTGTGGCCGCGCATGGAGACCGGCCTCCTGGCGGGGGCCAGACCAAACTCGGGAACCCAGGCCGAGCACGACCTCCGCTGCCGGACCCTGGTGCAGGAGGGGCGAGGGCCCGTGCAACCCCCCACTGTCATCCTGTTCCCGCCTGGGGGCTCCCTGCACTGACTGCTCTCTGGCCACCCACCGGCTCACCGCCAGACGCACAGGGCCTGTCCTTGGGGCAGACGGGTCGGGGGAGGGGGGGGTTGCATGTGCACAGAACCAAAGGCGGTCAGAGGTGACTGAGATCTGGGGGTGTGTCTGGAGCTGGTGATGATGAGGTCTGGGGTCCCCAAAGGGACGTCCTTTCAGCAGAAAACACCGTCATTTGCACCTCGAGAGGAACCAAAGCCACCCAGTCGGCCCCCTTCTCTGAGGACGACGGGTCTGGACTAGGGCACCCTGTGCCTGGAAGCTGGTCTGTGCAGTTTCCTGCCCCTAGCGACCAGCCAGGCATGACTCAATCCTCAACACGGGGAGACAGGGTCGGGCTCCGGGAGGAGGTGCAGGGGGGCGGGAGCGGGGGTCGGGGCTGCGGAAGCGGTGCCACTGGCCCTTGGCCAGACCATCGGCCAACTGGCCTCGGTGGGACGGCCGGCTGGGCCCTGCTGGAAGCATCCACGCAAGGCGTGATGAATCCCGTTGCGTCTTTCAACTGCGTGATCTACTTAATGACCTGAAACGATTTGCCAACTTACTTACTTGGCATTTGGTAGCCTGTTTATTTGGATCCACAGCACCGCGTACGCACACACCTGGCGTTGTCTGAATGGAGACTGTGGGCTCTTAAATGCCTACAGGTGGATGTTTAAATATCTGAGCGCAGACTGGTGCTGCTCACGGAGAATGTGCCGCTCGCAGAGACCCGCCCTGTGAGCGTGGCCCTGACAGGTGGGCCGTGGGGCCCGGCCGGGCTACGTGGCAGCAAAGTGCTCAGAGAGCCCCGGACACGGCCCGCCGGGCGCCTGCCAGCAGCAGCGAGAGCGTGGCTCCTTCCTCAGGACGCGCTCGCGTTCCCGGGACAGGTGCACCCACACACCGGTACCGCGCGGGGGGGTCGCCGCCTCGGGTGGGAAGGCTTCCCCTCGGGGGCCGTTCTCTCAGGGTCTCCCGAAAGGTCTGAGGGCAGCACTGTCTCTCTACGGATTCACATCCCCAGAGGGGATCCCCTCGGTCAGCTCCAAGTCGCTCAGGGCCAAGCCACGACGTGGGAAAGAACTCGCCTTTTCCTCCGTGAGAAACACGGGAGGACCTGTGTGTGCGTGAGGGGACGGGAAAGCGAAGTAATAGTTACTGACGGGGTATCGCATCGGTGGACGTTACTACAAATAATATCTGGTGTCGCTAGAGACTTCAATTGTAGATCATTTCCGATGCGGCCAGAAGCTGGAAACGCTACGCTTCAGACCTGGCAGGTTTTCTCTTCCGGTTTGCTGTCTCGAGACGCTGTCAGCATTAAACCTCCTGACCCCCGGTCCAGCCTTCGGAGGAGCCTCGACAGGAGGGTCCGGGCGCAGGCTGCCCCAGTGCCACCGCTGGTGCTGCCCCGTCTCGGGCCGGAGACTTCGAGGGAGTGACTCCCGGCAGCACAGCTCAGCTCCTCGCGCCTGCGGCCCTGGGGTGCCCGCCGCACAGGCCCCCGGGGCCCCTCCAGGGCAAACCACCCCCCCCCCCGTCACACCCTCCTGGGGACCGGGCACGTGTGGTCGCTCTAGGCCCGGGTCCAGTCCCTGGCCGCACGGGCACGGCACACTGATGCGCTCTCACATTTGTGTAATTGTTGTGGGTGGAGCGAAGCTAGGGTCAAAGTTCAGTTCCTTCTCCAGGAAGACCCAGTTTTCACCCTCACAACAGCAAGTGAACATGACAGTCACTCCACGATGTCGGCCTCGGGGTGACAAAGCAAGACAGAGGCCAAGTTCCGTGCAAACAGCGCTGTCCCCTGGCTGACTTCCCTGAGACCACGTTCTTCCGCACTCCAGCCTGTGTGCCCCAAATCCCTCCGAGGGACCTGAACCCAGAGCAAGCAAGCTTCGTCCAGTCGGGGCCCTACCTCGGGGAGCCCTGCTCAGGGAGCGGTCCCTGTCAACTCCTTCTGGGACCCTCACCTGCCCTCAACCCTGCGGCCCTTCCCTCAACTCCAAGCTCCCTCCTCAGTGCTCTGTTTCTGTTCCTGCCGGGACCGCCCCCTTCCCTGCAGCCTCCAGGACGGGAGGTGATGTGCCCTCCCAGCCCACAGGCTCTGTCCTGTCACGTATGAACCCGTCACCGCGGCCTCCGCTCCTGCCAGTGGTCTCCCCACCCCAGGATCCCCCCGACTCACAGGGGAGCCTGGCACCGGCCACCCCAATCTTCCGCCGCGACCGCGGCCACCATCCGAGCACTCGGACGCGGTCAACCCACGACTCCTGCTTGCCACCACGTGACCTCCTCCAGGCTCACAGTCTTCTGGCCCCTCGCCAGCCTTACCTCCCAGACCTGGCGCTTCCCCGCCCGCCGACCACTGCAGCCCCGCTATCTGAGCCTCCCTCCCGCCAGCAGGCCCAAGAGCCCCTGCCCTCTTGCCGCCTCCACAGGCCTGTGGTCCCGGGTTCCCCCAGCGCCTCCTGGTCTGAGGCCCCCGCCCCCGCTCCCTTCCTGCCATCTTCAGCGCAAACCCCGCGGACACCGTCTCACCCGCTCCCCAAACCGCCTTCCGTGGGGCATCAGCCCATAGCCCCCAACCCCAGGGGAGGATGGAGCTTTCCCACAACAAGCACCCCAGCCAGACGTGGGCCCCCGGGGGCCGCTACAAGCGTTCTAAGGAATCCTCCACGTGGTGGCTCTGGGGCTCACGGTGTCACCCGTGGCTCTTCGGGGACACTGTTGCCTTTGCTCGTCCGTGTGAGTCGTGTCCCCGGCTGAGCAGCGTGCACACCAGCAGCATGCTTCGATGAGTGCAGCTTAAGGGACCGAGCAGCGAGCGATGGCTGCACACAGAACGAGGGCGCCGTCTCTGCCTCGGAATCAAAGTACTTTCTGACTGGTCACTGGTGTCACCTGCCAGGTCCTCGGGATCATCTCAGCGGAATGTGGTGGGGTTTTTATTTAGCCCACACAGTTGTCTGCTGGGAGCTTGAGAATAATACATTTTCCCCCAATGAAACAGAAGGTAATCATATTTTGATTTATGAAAACCACCTTTTGGATTTTGTGAGAGATGAAATCAGCCCTGAAAACGGGAGAAAACTAGATTTCAAAGCAAAAAGCCGCAAAGCACCCTTGATCACTGCTTAAGGCCACATAAACCCGCTCCTCCGCTCCAGACGTGGCCTGTGCCGGGGCCAGCTCCCATGTGACGGGCTGGTGCTCAGGGGACATCCCTCTGCGTGCGGGCGTTGTCGCGGACTTTCCTGCCGCGGTGCGCCAGCCTCTCCGGCTGTTAGCACGAACGAGGCTCTCTTGTGGCCTCTGTCAACCACGTGGGCTCTGTGAAAGGGCTCCTCACGTGAACATGAAAAACAGCACAGATGCTACGGACCTGCCTAGCAGTCAGTGAAACACCGGGTAGAAATCCAGCGGGTGCACACGGACAAGTTAGACCGCGGTGCCAGTGAGGTGGCTCCTTTTGTGGCCAAAATACACGGGAGAAGAGTAATGGCCAGGCACCAGCCTTTGTCATGCAGAGACCGGCCCCACTCTGTCTGGGTGACCGTCCTGGCATTTGCCGCTGGACTGCGCCAGCTGTCGCGAGCCCGCTCCCTGCTTGGCGAGTCTCTGCCCACAGCCTCCCCCGCCTCTCAGGGTGAAGACCCGGTACCGCGCCGGCCTACGGGTGATGCCCGGCCACTGGGGCCCCAGACAGCAGGCCCGGGCGCCCGCACCCCTGCACTTACCCGTACCAGTAGCGCGGGTCGCTGGAGATGCAGTGGTTCAGGTTCCGGTGGGCCAGCGCCTTCTTTTTATTGAGGACAAACTCCTGAAGCTTCATCTTCACTTCTGTGCTGGCCACGGCACCTGGCGCGGGAGAAAGCACGGACAGGTGACCGGGGGTGGCGGCCCAGCGGCGCGGACGCGCAGCTCTGTGCTGGGGAGGGAGCAGCGGCTCAGAGCCCGGCCTGTGAGCCGAAATCGACCCGAAATCGGGACGCTGCTGGTGCCAGGAAGGCTTCTCAGAGGAAGGGGAAGGACAGGAGAAGGGTTAAGAAGGGCTCTTCCTCCCACGAACATTTCGCAGAACCGCGCCCCATCGACCACGGAGAAGTAACCAGCAGACGGATTCACTGTCACCTAACACGGATCGGCCGCCGGGGGCACTTTCGGACCCTCACGTGAAAGCATGTGGCGAACGGGCGCGGGCAGCACGCGGCTCCGTCCCCGCTACGGCACACGCGGCCGAGCCCCGGAGGTTGTGTGCACGCACCGCCACCAGCGGACGGGAGCAGGTGCGTCGTGACGCGCGTGTCCGCGGCGGCCTCGCGCCCGAGGGAAGGCGGCTTTCTGCTCCTGGGCCGCTTCCCCGGGGCCCGTGTGGGCAGCCTGCATGCGGGCAGCGCCTGCGCCTCGCGGGGTTCTCGGGGGCTGGCTGTTCACAGCCCCGGGGACCGAAAGCTGCAGATGGGAGAGACAGACGTGCGCACACAGATCCAAGTCCAGAGCCACCACCCTGACGCAAGACCTGCCCCGTCCGATCCGTTCTCAGCGCCCCGTGCGGCACCGCCTGCCTTCCCCTTGCAAGTGGCGTCAATGCTTCCCGTTATTGTCGAGAATCCCAGCGGTGCTTTTTTTTAATAGTAATGTTTATTTACTCATTTACTTGAGGGGGGAAGAGAGGGAGGGGGAGTGGGCAGAGGGAGAGAGCGAATTTTAAGCAGCCTCCACGCTCGGCCCGGAGCCGACCCGGGGCTCCATCTGAGACGCCGTGAGGTCTTGACCCGAGCTGACATCAAGACTCAGACGTTTAACCTACCGAACCGCCCAGGAGCCCCTCAAAGCACCTTCTAGTTGCTTCCCAAAATGCCTCCGTACACTGACCACCACGAGCCAACCGTGGCCATGCACCAGAGGCAGGCACCTTGTACCTTCGGGAACACTCGGGATCACCACGTGACCCTGGTCTGCATCAGTACTCGGGATCACCACGTGGCCCAGTCTCTCTGCCAGTACTCAGGACCACCATGTGACCCTGTCTCTTCTATTAGTACTCGGGGTCACCATCTGACCATGCCCTTATCAGTATTCAGGATCACCACGTGACCCCGTCTCTCTCAGTACTTGGGATCACCACACGACTTACAGGTGTGCACGCACGCGCATGTGCCTCCAGTTCCTGGCACCGAGCTCCTAAAACCCTTGTAAACTCCTAAGTGGTAAGAACACTAGGGCCATCTCTTGTTCTGATGCAGTGACCCTGGCTGGACTCTCGGAAGGCTCCTGGAGGGGCTGGTCACCAAAAGACCAAGCCGTGATTAGAAGCTTGGAATCCTCAGCCCCGTTGGATTGGGCGGAGAGGGGCTGGAAACAGAGTTAATAATTGCTCACCAGGAAGCCTCCATACAAAGTCCCAGTATGGGGTGCAGAGGGTGTCCACACTGGGAAGCACATGCACGTACTGAGAGGGCGACGCGCCCCAGCTCCACGGGGACAGAGACTCCCGCGCCCGCGACCTGCCCGTACCTCGTCCTACGCGCTGCTTCTCCTGGCTGCTCATCTGTCCTCTGCCACGTCCTCTACTAAACCGAGGAGTGTCAGGAGCCTCCCCCTGGGTGCTGTGAGCCGGCCGGCAAGTTCAACAAGCAAGGAGGGGGCTGTGGGAACCTCTGAGGACCTACAGCGGCTGGTCAGACGCTCGCGTGACAGTCTGGATCGGCAACCGGCGTCTGCCGGGGGGACTTGTGGGACCGAGCCCTCAGCTGAGCAGTGTCCAAACAGAAGGGCTGCAGGACAGCCGGGGGTGACGGAGCGCTGCGTCGTGGGCAATCCCAGCAGCGTCGCGTTCCGGGTCCGCGTGGGTCTACGTAAAGGGCAAACGCAGGAGGAAAGAACTGGGTTCCTCCCAACAGAGGAGGGAAATACTGGTTGTTTCCCAAATTTGATATTCAAACGCTTGTTTGCACGTAATCTGCTCTGGTTTCCCCATTTCCCGGAAGCTTTGAAATTGATCTTCCTTTCGCTGGTTTGGTAAATAATAAGTTTTATTTTATCCTTGTTTCCCCGGTGTTGGGCTTTCATTCATTTATGTGCTTGCTGTTGCAATGTGTTCACGGTTCTTTCTGATGCGTGTGAAATGGATTTTGGTGTATGTGACTCTCTAGGTATTTTGACAGGTTGCTCGTGAATTGTTAGCATCATCAGAGAAACCATCTTTCTTCCCACTGTTATCATCCGCACACTGAATTCTGTCCAGCTGTACGTATGTCTGCCGTGTTCCAGGGCAGCGTCCCCCGCAGTTAGGTCACAGTGGGCCTTGCGTGTGTCGTGGATGACAGTCAGACAGCACAGACCCCTGGGAACAGGGTCTGAATTAGATCATCCAGGGAAACACAGGTTCACCAAACCGACCCCAAACCACCTTCAGAAGCTCCCGTCACGACACACGGACTTGTGTCTTGGGCCTTCCCAGGCTCTGGGGACATGGCCCCAGGGGCACGTGGGAAGAGAAGCCTGCCAGAGCCCTCTACGTGCCGGGTGCCAGCCAGCGGGCACGGTGTCCCGGCGACACTCGTGAGGAGGGCACGGGGGACGACTAACGCTAACAGGCCGGGCCGTGGGGGGTGACCAAAGGCACAAAGTCACACCTGCTTCTGGGCAGCGCGGCTCAGTCCCCCAAAACGTAGCCAGTGCCAGAGGGAACACAGATTCTGAACGTGCAGAGCCCATGTTTCCTGTCTGCAAGTGGACGTGTCAGAAGATCGCACGTGCAGACACAGAGACCTGCCTACAACGTGCCCGGGCATGCAGTCACGTGGCGTTCATGACAGCGCAGGGGCACCAGGAGGGTGGCAGAACATACGCCAAGGGCTAACCGCGACCGTACACGGCGGGCCTGGCAACCAGGAGTGAGACGAAGGACAGGGGACGCAGAGGGTTGCTGACGAAGGGGAAACGCGAATTGGCCAATAAATGTGCGAGATACGCGCAACCTGCGGAGATGAAAGAAACCACAGTGAAACGAGGAGTTTGGTTGTTCCCTCTCGGGCTGCTGGCCGCGCAGGGAGGATCAGACTTCCTGCTGAGGAGGAGCGGGAGGAGGGGGAGCAGGAAGACCCGGACGGAGGAAGAGCAGATGGCCTCCTGGTCCTGCAAAACTGCTTCCGGAAGAGCGGACCACGCAAAATAGCAGACAAGCAGCGGACACTCTCGGTGGGCCAGGCGAGGCTGTTCCCGAAAGTTTCCCAGCAAACCCAAACTGTGCGTTAGCTCACCGGATCTTCCCCAGAACCACCGGCCCGGTGGCTCCACTTGCCCTCCACGGGGTGGGGGGATGCTTATGACTCCCCTGAGGGCCCTCTGGGGACAAGCTGGCCCCGAGGACCAGGTTTAGGCGGCCTCTGACTCTCCCTGCTTCGGCCACAGCCCTGGCTGATGTCTCGGGCTCCAGAACTCAAAGGAGGGCAAAGAACAAACGCCCCACCGCGGCAGGGAGTGCACGCGACAAATCCCAGCGACAGGCAAGCACGGCGGGACGTGGCGAAGGAGAGCGGCCCCTCCTGGAGGAGACCCTGGCCCTGTTGCTGGCCAGGGCTGTGGCACCTGCCAGCCACCGGCAGGGCCTTGTGCCCTGAGCTGCCTGCTGTGTCCTCACGGCAGGACATACGTCTGCGGGACTGACATGGGGTCCCTCGGCCAGCTCGGGCCGGGACAGGGCACCTTACCAGGCTCTCGTGGAACCAAATCAGGACCAGCCGCCTCCCTGAGCTCAGGAAGGTTCCGACATAAATACACCACACGAATGCCGCAGCACCTCCTGAGCACGTCGGGCCGAGTCCACCTTCCAAGAGGGGGCAGACGGTGACCTGGTCAGAAGGGTGGACCCTCCCTGGCCCTTCCCAGGCCACCTGTGGCTGGAGGCTGACGCACCGGGCCCTTCCTCACAGGGGTGGTGGGCACGACTCACACCCATACACATGCGGGACCCACGGCAGACGCCGGGCCACAGGTGTGTGACGCTGGGCCACAGAGGGACCGTCTTCTCTTCTTGGCACTTTACGTGAAGGCGATTCCAAATGGAGCTGTCATCCTTCCAGTCATTGACCCATCTCTCAACAGATTCTGCCACCTTGACTTCTTATCTGCAGGTTGTTTGTCCTGGTCACGTATGTTGAAATCTTTGCATTCTAACTGTGTCCTCAATTCCAATCCAACATGCATCGCAAAACGCTTCTTTTGACACTTATAAAATACTTGAGTAAAATTTTTTTTCTTCTCTCTTTTTTTAATTTTAATTTCAATTTTAGTTTACGTAGTGTCATGTTAGTTTCATGTGTACAATATAGCAATTCCACACTTCATACGTTACTCTGTGCTCCTCCGGCTTCCTCTTCTTTATTTACTTACTTATCTATCTATTTAGTTTGAGAGAGAGAGAGACAGAGAGAGACAGAGTGAGTGAGCACAGGTAGGGAGAGGGGCAGAGGAAGAGAGAATCTTAAGAGAGAATCTTAATCCAACCTCAGTGCAGAGCCGGATGCAGAGCTCGATCCCACAACCCTGGGATCACGATTTGAGCCGAAGTCAAGAGTCCGGTGCTCGACTGACTGAGCCACCCAGGCGCCCCTAGATTCGTCCACTTTAAACCAAAATTATAGAGTCAATAAAACACATTCGATAAACAAATACCAAATGTCTTTCATTTTTACTTAAAAAAAATGTATTCCCCTTGGTTATCACGCATCCATCTGACAGGGTTTCCAGAGACGTAATTATGCGCCAGGGTCTGATCCGGCCATGGGGATAAAGATGTAAATAAAATACAAGAGATGAAGTCCCCTCCCCACAGGGAAGGGGATCTAAGGACCAGGCACCCGTGGGCGCAGGCAGAGGAGAAGGTGCCTCTGGACACGGCCCGTCGCAGGTCTTCCGTGTGGCCTCTGCCTGGGATTGGCTCCTTCTTCTCACGCCCCGCTGGGCTCTGAGGAAGCTCCCCTTCGCACGTGGGATAGAGAATCACCTTCTGGACCACGCGCTGGGTCTTTTAACTCCAGCCTCTTCAGCCACTCTTTTTTTTTCCTTTTTAAAATAAAGTGAATGACTTTGCCTCAAACGATGGCACGTTTTCCCCACCTGGGCTGTGCTTGTAAATAACAGCGAAAAGCGTAGCTGTATTCGTCCCAGAGAACAAAGACTTGCCTTCGATTGATTCTCCCTTTGAATTGGTGTTAAAAGACGGTATGTCTTAGATTCTTAAATGTAGTTAATCTAAGTAAAAGTTCCCTGACGAAAGATCATGTGTTCATGCTGAACGAGACGAAACCTGCCACAAGTTCCAAGAATACACTGCTCCTTAGAGCTAACAGCATTGACTGCTATCAATAAGCAAAAGAAAACTGCAGAATTATTTAAATTCAAAGTACAGTAAATGTTTATCAATGTAACAAAACTTTAATTAAATA